TTTTTTTTAGTCAGAGAGATCATTACCGCATTCGAGAAGTATGGATCTTCAAAATCTGTAGACGTCCAAATTCATCTGGAAGGCTAACTTCCATCTGTACTTCAAGACGACCAGGACGGAGAAGTGCCTCATCAATCATGTCTTTTCTGTTTGTCATACCTGCAAATCTATGTTAGCGAGGAAAGTGAAACGTCCAGAAAATAAGGCATGAACCTATAACCAAGATGTTGTTAAGCTGTTCAACGCCATCCAGTTTCGACAGCAGCTGGTTGACGACTGTGTCATGTACAGAGGAAGATCCAGCCTAATTCAGCTAAATCTTGTACAAAATCGAGATTATTTCAAAAAATTTTACCATGGAGCCTCTCTGTTTGCAGATGGCATCGATTTCATCGAAGATAATAATGTGAAGACCTGAATTGGATCCACATCTCCTCCATTCCTCTTCAGCATCCGCGAACAGTTTCCGCACATTCGATTCTGACTCTCCAACATACTGAAATGGAAAGTTTTCAACAAAATGAAAATGTGGCTTATAGTAGAAATTTACTTTGTCCAGAATTTGTGGTCCATTCACAATCTTTGGCTCTCTCGCATTAAGCATTTTGCCAATTTGACGAGCCATTAATGTCTTACCAGTACCAGGAGGACCAAATAGAAGAATACCACGCACGTGCTTCATTCCTCAAATGTCAAACGTCATTAAATTATAAGAGAAATGAAAATATATCCTAAATATTACCGAGTTGCTCAATAAACTCAGGAGGAAAAACTCTTGAGGCGAATGCTCGACGGAATATTCCTGAAAACTCCTTGTCAAGCCCGCCTATTCCCATCTTTTGGAAGTCCCAATCAGGATTTATTATAGATCGGTATGCAGATTTTCTAAACAGTTTCATTTGAAGAACAAGTCGTAGCGTTTGGTGGCCTCCTACCCTTTGCTCTTTCCTACAAGGTTCAATTGAGATCCTTCCTCCTTGTCAAAGATTATAGCTGAATTCGGTAAAAGTTGACCACAGTCAATCTGCAAATGGTGGAATTGATTTTGACGCGAATGATATTTATTATGTTTATGTATTTGACCCTAAACTTAAACTTACAGGAAATGGACGTGATTTTTCGTCACCGGCAGCAGCGGAATTGAGATCAATGCCTGAAAACAGCCATTGCCTTTCGCAACGCTAAGAAAAACAGTCGTTTTTTTTTGGGAAGGAAAACATAATTCGTTTGTTCACATCAGTTTGATATCATTTAAAACTCTATTCACATGTTACAAGTACTCTTAACTTTGATTTCTTCTGTCTATCTCTTTTATACATCACCCGTGACAGAAAATTCATTTTTTTGGAATTCCACGACAACGGAGGGAGGATGAAGTGGGGAACCTCCTTATCCATACTGCTCCTGCCTTCCCCTCTTCGAGTGTCAATGATTATATATATATATATATATATATGTTTATT